ATCAAACAAATATAAGATAAGAAGATTTAATTTTATACCTTAAAATATCTGGTATTGCAGGTGGTTTCATGTTATTTACAGTCGCCCAATGAGACATCGTTAAACCTGCAACGGTGCGTTGTAATGCCGAACGCGAATTAAGATGTGCCAGTAATACTTTAGCGTAACAAAGTGAAGGACTAGGTATATCCGGTGTGTAAATAACACCCGGTGCTGGTTGTACTACGTAATGCGATAACAATCCTAACATTCGTCCCGCTCTACAACGAGCTTGAACTACGTTCAATTTCCTTATGTTTTGAGCTACGGTTTCAATTCCACCGATATAAATTTTCAATTCAGACATGGATTTTACATTTCCGCCAGCAGTATTATTCCCTCCGTTGTTACTAGCATCTGCTTGTCCATCGCAAATACCAACGACTTGATTAGATTTAACTCCTTTATTAGAAGTGCTTACTATCATTAGTAAGTTCGGATTAAATGGCACGTGTTCCGGTTGCATAGCAAGACAGAGCCACGTGCTGACAAGAGGACATGCTGCATGTAATAAAAGCTCGAGATCACTTTGTACGACTAGATTTTCCCAAACACGTTCAGCTACGTCTTGTATGGCAACTACGTGTTCTATCAACACTCGTTGAAAAACATGACGGAGAGCTTCTTGCAATACAAGTCCGCCTCCTTCACCCCATCGCTCTTTTTTATTCTCATTACAAGTACCGTTGTCTCCGGTTAATGTTTGTAGTGTTTGTAAAGTGGCTTTACGTACACTCGAACTAGAATGACTAAGGAATGGCCATAATCGTGGTAAAACCTAGAACCATGTTAAATTAATATTAGAGTTAAATAACAAAAAATACAATGCTTATTAATATAAACTTTACTTGCGACAATGGCTGAGGTGTGAGACAAGAGCGCGCCGAAGACAACGAAAGTATAGCAGCGAGTAATCCCATAAAACTATTACATGCTGCTGCTAAATCATCTTGTTCGTGTAAAAGTTCCCAAAGACGAATTACAATTGCTTCTAATTCTGATGGTTTTAATAAACGTGGTAGAGCAGATGCTACTGGTATAAGCGCGCTTGCTGCAGCAGCGCCTACATCATCGACCGGATCGGAAAGACCTTGCATAATGGCTGGAAATACTCTCGTTAGTATATCGTCTAACATGTCATCTCGTACAGCGAGTAGATATTTCAGTGCGAGTAGCGCACCATGTCTTGCTTCCCATTCATCATGCTCTAACAATTTCAACATAACTGAAAGTATTCCTATAATTCCCCTATTTTTATTTTCATTATCTTTTTGATTTGGCACTAGTAATAAAAGAGAACCTAGTGCTTGAGCACACGTCTCTCGTACTGGCGCAACTACTTGATCAGAAACAAAATCTCCAAATCTATCTAATCCTAAAACACATAGTAGTCGTAAAGCAGCATCAACAAGCCATTGATAATGACTTTCTGCCATTTCCTCTGCAGTTTGATCCCTTGATTTACCTGCACCTGTATTAAATTTCAATTATTTATTATTTTTATATTCTTTTAACGTTAACATTTTAATTATTAACATTTTTCGTACCTTTCCCATGAAGTTTTACCACCTCCCGTAAAGCAGTTGCTGCTCCATGTCTTATTTCCCATTTTTGACTAAATAAATCTTGACAGAGACTTTCTGCGAACGATTCCAGAGGCCAATCTATTAGAGAATCTGGCCAGCAACCTGTGCCATCTGGTACTCCGTTATTTGATTCAGTCTGTGTACTGCAATTAACACCGATCTCTAACGAAATCACTTCCTCTAATTTTATTTTTTTATTCAGTGACTCGGCTGTACTATTGATAGGAGATTGAGCATTTGAATTGTTCTGATAATCTTCGCTATTACGATAATCATCAGGCTCTCGTGAACGTTGTTTTAAAACTGACTGTCGTGCCTGTCAAAAAATCAATATTATTTTAGATTATTTTATTATATCAGTATCAACGAGAACATGTTTTAGTGACTCAATTATATATTACCTTACGTCTAGCTCTATTCATTTCGCGTCTACTAAGACCACCAGGTTGTTTTAATGTTTCACTCACAGATACTTTAGTCTGTGTATTTGAGGTAGGTGGTAATACAACCGGAGTAAGATCTTCAGCGGTAAATAATTCTGATGTATCAACACCCATTAATCGCGGATGAAGGCCTAATTTAGCAGCAATTTTTTCCTCTTGATTAGGAAGTAACATTTGCTCCCCATCAGCAACAATTAAATCATATTCACTGCCTTCTGATCCAGTAAGATATGAACTACGTGCTAAAACCTTTTCCATATCAAAGTCTTCCAAATTTAATTTATTATTTGGTCTTTTTGTTTCTCCATCTTCTGTAGATTCAAAATTTTAATATTAACAACAAAACTTATCATGTACAAACATCAGAAAATAAAATTAATTACCTGTACGTGTTTCTTTTTTGATAGGTTGTGGATCCCAAGCAGGAACTTGAGCAAGTATAGCTTGTACAGCCTGTGCAGCTGAAACTCTGGTATCCCATTGTAGAGACTTTAAAAGAATAGAAACTCTTGCTAATAAATGATGTAAATCATGAGGGTGTAACCTCTGTGCTTCTCCTAATTGTTGTGCCGCAGCTCTTTTAGTTACTGCATTTGTCCCTGTTTCCAATAGTATAAATAATCTGTCCAGCCTAATAGAAACCCATACATTTTGATATATGCAATCATGTTACTAAGTTAGCTATAGATACATATGATTATTTGTTAATATTTTTACGCATATTTGTCATTTCCAATTTCTCTTTATTATTATATAAAATAGAAATATAGTAATGAATTTAATATAGTATGTTATAGAATTTTATTGATATTATAAATATAAAATTTAAAAATGTTAATCAGACAAATACATAATACTTGTTAAACATAATCATTATATTTTTTTATATAAAATACACATAAATTTTAATAATAACATTTTATTATGTTACATTAATGTGTGATACTATATTATAATACTATAAAGTTTATTTTTTATTTACATAAATGTAAATATATTAATGTAAATGTATTATTTTATAGATTTGATTTTAATACAATAATTGTCAATGCTTTACCTTGATGTCATGTTTACAAGTGATGTTCAATCAACAATTCTAAATGCCTAAAATCAAAATAATAGTATACATGTATATATATGTATAAAATGCGTATCTACAAACACAAGAAATAAATTATCATTAAAAATCAATTACATATTTACATGAAAGAAATACAAATATTAAAAAAAAACATACATTAGAAACATAGGCAAGGCAATTATTAAACATATATTTATTATTAAATACTACAAAATTTAATAGCTAATATATGGAATTTGTCTAAAATAAAATGGAGTACGAAAAACAACGTGTTATCTGTTATTTATTTGATAGAGAAAAAGAAATTGATCCATATTGGAAAAATCAATTGTTAAGCTTAAGAATGAAAGTTTGTGGTAGATTGAATGATGAAGTAAAGATGATAGATGACATCCGCGAGGATGCGTTTTTTTAAATCGGTAAACAAGTTCAGAGATTTAAATAATGTAAAATTTGGAGAAAATGGTACAAATTTTAATTAAGAAAACAAAGCGGAACATAATATTTTCAAAGATATTGTAAAAAATATGGATATATAAATAAATAGTAATGAACGAACGCTTAAACATACCTGATTTTAAAATATAGTTTATTTTATTGCTACGCTTTAGCTAACCCGCATAGCCGTTTCCCACTGTATTGATTTCTCAAAAATCACATTACGCTGTATATTTCGAAAAAGTCGACAGATAGATAGACTACTTGTCAAATTTTTCGGAGAGAAACGCATGTTCAAGCATCAAATTTATACTGACAGCCATATTGCTGGGGAACCTGAGTTTTGTCCCCCAATTTTACTCTCATTGGTGGATTATTTGCATCTCGTAGATCGATGAACCAATCAACGTTGTCTTCGTGCAATGATCACATTCTTCACGCTTCGTGCGTAGGACGAAATTATGCCGCGTACACATATTTATTAAATGAATTAATTTTTTCAAAATTATTTTGTGATCCATACCTCAAAATTATTTTACAATCCAAAAATACTGAGTATATATTTATTGATTCTTCTTATTACCTTTTTGGTTGTTTTCATACAATTAAATATTTGCATAATTCAATTTTTTGGTAATTTATATTGTTTCGAAAATTCCATATTTAAAATATATTTATATTTTATCTTTTATTTATTTTATATGTAATAAACGTTTTTATTTATTTATATTATTAATGTTATGATTCATTCAACATTTTATATTCCTAAATATATCATTTTTCAATTGAAATATGACTATTAATATAAACGCATTTAAAAACATGAAAAATTTTTGTTTTTCATAAAACAGAATCAAAAACTGCTCAGAATCAAAAAAAATCATGAAAGATATGTAAAACGTTTTTGAACATATTTGACACATTAAATGCAAAATTATTCAAATATGCGATATGATTAAAAATTTTGTATATATTGTATATTCATATTTCGCGCCATATAATGATTACGTACGTTTAAATTTTTCGAACGTTATAATTTTAAAAGTGAAAAAAGTGATTTTATTAATTTTGAGTATTTGAACCGAAATAAGAAGACTTTGTACAACAATTTAAGGTATATTTATTATTTTTCATATTATTACAATGTATATAAGCTATATAATTCGATTTATTGATATATTTTGTTCGAACGTTGGAAATTTGTTGGAATATTAATTCGTAAAATTTTAAAGTTTGTTTCATAAACATATTTATATTAGAATAAAAGATTATATAATTATAAGATTGCATTAGAAACAATTATAATTTGTAAATATTGTTTCAATGATTATTTATATTATATTTATATATTTTAATAAAACTTAAAATATAATTTCATAGTTCGTACATATTAAGGTTATTTTTAAAATTAAATAACGTTCATCGTATAGAATAATTTTCATAAAATAATTTATGTAAATGTAAACTTTTAAATGATAAAATATAAATATTATATATAATATAAATATTATATTATAATATAAATATTATAACAAAGGTAGTGTCATAAACAAATTATGATTTATAAGGTTAAATATGTAAATATGATTTATAAGGTTTGTTCTAAAATAGAATATTATATTGTATATATTACACATATAGTTAAATGTTTAAACAGTATTTATTTTACATTACAGACATTGCAAAGCTTCGACATTATTTTTGTTAACTAATATGTTATATAGTATTACTCTATTTCAATTGAAGATGTTTTTAATAATATACTAATGATATTTATAATGTCTGTGACCCCCTAGAAATGAAAACATACAATGTAAATAGTATTCTTTCATTATTTTATAACAATAAATTATGCAAATTTATTATATATCAACTTACTGAGGCGCATGTAATTTGCGATATAGCCAACTGTCATAATAGCAACAGCAAACTGCCATAGTGGAGCTGCCGTTGATTTTTTAGGATGCATATATTTCAATTGCCATCGCCAATGAGCTACAAGTTTATAACAATTAGATTAAATTCTAACATTTCAATGAAACTAAATGTAAATTATTCTAGAGCAAGAATTTAAGCGCAAAGAAATTAATTTTTATTTTTTGCTCTATGTTATAAGTTGCACTTGATTGTGAATATTAAAGGAATTATTTCTGTTCCAATATTTTCAATAATATTGATATATGTATATATTAATAATCGGATGCAAATTGCAGCAAATGTGTTATGTAATTTTTGAGCCATGATAAGGCCACTTTGTTTAATAAAATATATACCTCGTGAAATTAGCGATGCGAATGGCTTTAATCCTTTTTCGCGTCTGCTAAACCATGCTGGTAGATCACGAAGTTTTACTTCGCTAAATGGTGTATCAGCTATAAAGATAACGATATTTTATTAAGTCATTCATAAATCAAAACGGCAAAAATGATATAACTTACGTTTTCCGTAATATCGAGAAGGATCGTATGGACCGTGTTTTGCACGATCATATCCTTCCGGATAACAACCCCAGGTATCAAATTTAATGAATTTGGCAAATTGGTTGCAAAGTTGTTCCAGCGTGTTCATTGTAACTGAATTATCGAGCACGAATCTTTAGTTAAGACGGTTCGGTTTCAGTGTCTGTATAAAGGTTATGTGTGATACGGGATATAACCCTTTAGAAACGAAATCCCTAGACACACAAATTAAATTATTATGTTTGTTACTAGTGATTTTGAAAACTGATATTGGTAATTGTAATATTCATAATACATAATTATTTTCAATCTCCGATAATTACATCCATTACATTAATGTAATGAATGTAAAATTAGTTATTAATCTTTATTAATTCGAACGGAAAAGATTTATGTAATTTAGATTTAAAGTAAAAACCGTATTTCTTTTATTAAATTCATAGTAAATTTAATGTATATTGATTTTTAAAATTCGATTCGATTTACACAATCATTTATTTTATAATTCTTGATGATTAAGAATTTTAATTCAAAGGGCAGGGCATTAAAGGTTGCGTAGTTTAAGGCAATAATTATTTATTTCCAAAATTAAAATCTAGTAATCCTTCTATTAAAAACAAATTCTTTTGTCGAAACTTGTGAAATCCTATGATCTTAAAGCTTGGTATTCAATTTATAAATAGATTCTTGCATGCAAGAGTTTGCATCGCGGCGAATATCAAAATTTCAGCAACAAAATACAATTTTTCTAACGCTCCTTTTAAATTATGAAATTTCCTCGTTGCAAGTTAAGTTGCTAAATTCATGTTCAGTGTTATTTAATAAGTTCTGAAGCCGTACGTGCGTATACTAAAAAATAACAATATTGTTATATCCTCGAATTCTATCTAAGCGTATCAGATCTTTAATTCAAAGGCTGTTGTAATTATTAACATAAGTAAGGCTACAATTACGTGTAAGGTAGTTGGTATTTGTGCTCGTTGTTAACGTTACTTCTCTATTCTTATCACTATCACTAGCCTCTAGTGGTCGCTTATTTTATTATATATTCTTCGAGTACAAAGATTGTTCGTTTCCTTAGATTCGCGTAGGAAGTTGGAAATATTTCACGGATTGGAAAATTTCGAGTCGCGAGTCCTTCTCGCGTATTTCACACGGAATTTCACGCTTTCTTTCACCTCTCAGAACATAAACGTAAATCAATCTTCAAGGCTGAAGTGACAATGAAGCTTAACGAACGGCGTTGCAACTGCAAAAGTCGGCCGTTCAAGGGTTTCTGTTATAATCTGTTAATGCGCGTCGAACACTGTAACGCGGATGACAGCGAGTTATTCAAACTTTCCCCTCCCATTAATTTCGCAGTTATTTGAAAAATTAGTCGTAGCTTCATGCTTAAATTAATTAGCGTACTTATCTAAAATCGCTTCGAAAATTTGTTTTATTACTTTATAAACATTTCACACGAGTAGAATGACTAAAGTTCACGCTAGCTATATTTATCGGCCTTTTAAGTACTCGTACTCATTCAAATAAGTTTCATTGGTTTAGTGAAAACAGTGGAAAGTTAAATTACAAAAGTTCGGAGGTCGATAAATTCTAAAAATAGATTGGATTCACTTCCAGGTATTATTCATCGTAGACAGATATTTCAATACGTCAAGCGAATTTCTTGGACAAATTGCAACTCGAATTAGT